AGTAAATGTTGTTCAGGAGCTTTGATAACATGTTGAATAATCCCTGAATTCAAGGGCCTTTGTAATCACTGAACATTTTAAAGAGTTATACGTCTTTGCACTGCCCCCCCTAACCTATCCACGTTAAGTTCTGTCTAACTATACTACTTGAGGAGGAAGCTGAGCTTTCAAAAAGCACAGTTCTGGAAAAGAGTAGGAACTAAAGGCCAGGAGTCCCAGCCCTTTCTTCTAGGAAAAATAATGGATTTTATTTCAACTCATTGCTAATAAATTCACTGTCTACAGCCTGGGAAATTTGCCTCGAGGCTATTGCAATACACGGACTCGAGGTACTTTTGGAGCTATTTCAATGGTGGAGCTACCATGTACTTACCTTGTAATGTTAAAAAAAAAATAGGGGAAGAGAGGAGAAAACCTGAGGAGATTATTAGCCTAGAAAAAGTGCTGAAGGAGAGGAGAAGGTCTAGGGACCACACAGACAGGCCAAGCCAGTTTCGCAATTTTACCTGGGGCCAGGTTGAAATGGTTGACTTCAAAGCTACTGCAACTGGTTGAACCACATCTTCTCTGTCCTAACTCCATAAGCTCTTTGGCTATAAGCTTCATTCATAATTGCAACTGGCTTGTCATTAGTTAATTTGATTCTTCTTCTTAAATCAGTTTCTTATCAAGTCTACCTTCCTAGTTTGGTCTCCTTTTCACATAAGCAATGCTATATCTCTTTCAAAAGATTTAAGCACTTTATGGTCCGGTTTACATTCTGGTTAGCTGGTTATAGAGGTTGTACTGGCAGACCAGATAAAAACAGCTGGCAGAACATTTTTGCTGAGTGTCTGCTGTATGCCAGCAGGGGATGAGACAGGCAAGATAGCCCTTTCCTTAAAGTGGTTAGCAATTATTCTTCATTGCTACTGGAGTTGGTAGATACTAAGTCACTTAGGAGACACCATTTCACAGTCAGTAGGCATTCATGAACAAACTTTATTGTTTTAGGGGTAGAATTCAAAAGAAGGAATGTTGTGCCAGCCTCCCCCAGCTTTCCAGAGGAACTTGGTGCTTTTTCTCAAGATATCCATCTCCATCAGAGAGTGAGGGCACAGCAGTGGGAAGCTTGGGTCCGGATGGGATGGCATGATGCTGATACACTGGGTAAGTCCATAGTACATTATCTTTGGTTGCCTCAGTCTTCCACCAAATATTTAAAAAACTTCAGTTCACATGTGGGCAATTGCATTCATTCTTTTATTTATTCATCTAAAAATATCCATTGAGCACCATTTGTGGATAGATGAGAACTATCGGCATTATTCTCAAGATGGAGGCTTTCAGGAAACCTCTTTTCTGGTACCTCTATAGGCTGACTGGCTTTAGCTTGAGATGCTCTTTGCAATAAATGTTATGTTCGCAGGTCTGAGGTTTGGGATGGGCTCCCTCAGCTTCCTACAAATGAGGACCTCGGTTGTAGAAAGGAAAATGGGATGTTTCTGTTGAAATCTTGATGATATCCTGACCATGGATATATTACGACTAGAAAGACATTCATAAGGAGGAAATGATATGCTGGTGGTTGTATATTTTCAGGCATTATCTCTTGACTGTGATGTTCCTAGTGTCCTCCAAAGACCATTTTCCTTGATTAATGTACCCCGAGACCCAAGCTACCAAGTGCCAAGACTTCCTGCCATATCCTCATTTTGACTCTCTTCACTGTGGAAACCTGTAGTGATCAACTGTATCCTCATTGTCCTAGGTGACCAGTTGTGTAACCATCTTCCCCACTTCTGCTGACCACTATCTAAAAGACACAAGTGGCCAAACTGCACAAGATACCCAATCGACATCCAGGCTCAAACAAAACAGGCATGGATTTCTTTGCTTAACTGTTTTCTCTTTCGGTTGTAAGAATGAATCTTTATCCATTCAATAAATTGTTGAGCCTCTTTATGTATAAGCAAAATACTCTGCCTTCAGAAGTAGTTTCACTGGTAAAAGCTTCTCTTCAGAATATTTACTCCTATATGTGTGGGGGGTAGCAAGCTTCCAAGATGGCCCTCCAGTGATGCTCACCTCCAGTTCTTCCCAATTTTTTTGTAGCACCCCCTCCCATATTGTATCAGGATTGATCTGTGAACATGGCAGAAGTAATGGTATGTGACTTCCAAAGCTTGGTCATAAAAAAACATTGTGCTCTGCCTGGCTACCCACAGGAACTATAATATAATCCAAGTTCATTATTTTAAGCCACTACATTTTGTGGTAATTTGTTATGCAGAAGTAGTTACCTCAATATGGTATGAGGCCAGAGTTAATCCATTTGAGGCTTTAAAATGGGGTTTAATGGATCAAAATGATTTGCAACAATAGAAATAAAAAATTATAATTTTATATCACAAAATTAGTTTAGCAAACTATCTAGCTTTTAAAAAGTAATTTAGCTCTTATTGCTAAAGATACCATTAAAACATGATTTTTCCTACAATAATCAACATATATAATGAAGTTAAATATGCCAACTTTATAGGAAAAATTACCTGAAGATTTTAGAAATTGTAATAGATGGAGCCTGGCTTAACAAATTTTAAGAAGATTCTTAAAACAGTTAATATTAAATATGAAAGAATATCAAAAAAGAAAATGTAAGGAAATTGATTTCCAATTTTTCAGAATTTAAGAATCAGTTTTCTTCTCTTAATAATAGCTATCATTCATTAAGTCCTTACAATAATCTTGTGAGGAAAGTATGATGCCTAAACTTGAGCTGAGGAAACTGAGGCTTGGACAACTTAATTTGTTTAAAGTCATCCAAATAGTAGGTAATTGAGCTAGAATGTGTCTCCTTATCCTGTACTTTTTCCATTACATAGAAAATGATTTCCATTATCCTTCCATGACAGAACATTTTTCTAAAATTAGTTTTTAGGTTTGATATGTGTTGAATGTCATTTAAGCGAGCACTACACATGGAAAACGAGCAGACTGAACAGATACTTATAATTTGGGCTTAAAAAAAAAGTCCTACTCTTAAGTGAAAAGAAAGGGGTTGGTCTTCTCAGTTATTCAAAATTCCTCCATCTTTTATCTATTCTTCCACTCACTAATTGCTCATCTTGTTTACCATGGATAATTGTAAAACTGGTGAGAACTTAAGCTTACATAGAGAGCAAGTAATTACCCACTAGTTAACATTTAGTTGATAAAGATACCCTTTCAAAAATATTTTTATTGGTGTATAGTCAGTTTACAATGTTGTGTCAATTTCTGGTGTACAGCACAATGCTTCAGTCATATAGGAACATACATATATTTGTTTTCATATTCTTTTTCACCATAAGTTACTATAAGATACTGAATATAGTTCCCTGTGTTATACAGCAGAAACATGTTGTTCACATAAAGATACTCTTATATGTAACTTATGACCCAATATACTTTATACATAACAAGAAATATTCCCCAGCTAACATTTAGCTAATACACTGATGTCCTTTGCTTTTGCTTTTTCTTCTTCTTTTTTTCCCTTCTTCTTCTTCTTTTTTTTTTTAACATAGCAGATGTGACCTTTTGATGTTTGGTAATCTATGCATCAGGAAACCTCACAAGTGCTCATCTTAACCATGACATACCCATAAGAATTAATAAGTTTTCTCTTACTTTTTTAGTTTTCCTACTCTGAGCATTTTATATAAAGCAACCAGTGTCTACTCTGTAAGTGCCTTTGTGAGTAAAATTGTCTATTTAATAAATATATCATGACCATAGTATGTATTTTGTGATTCCATTTCTATAAAGAACTTCTGTCCTTTCTATACAATGGAAGATAACGTGCGTTGCTGAAATGCTTTGGTTTTTGCTTATGAATTTGGCTTTTACTTTCTTTCAATGTGCTGTACAGTCTTCTGTACATTTTCCCACATTACTTCCTTTAGGAAGGGCCCACATTTTAGTTTTTTTACATCAATCACAAGTAAATACTTTGAAATACAATCCTATGCTGTAATACTAATGTAGTTTAGAGAAATAAAAACATTTTTTTCACAGTGTTTGAGACCATAAAATGTAATTTAAAGACTTTTTGTTGAATAATTAGTTCATTTAACCCGAGACTCCTTCTCCTCTGTCTTTCCTCCCTTCCTCCATATTTACCCCATCAGCACCAATCCACCCCTTACTGCCAGCCTCAGCAGATGTTGTGCCTTTTTGCTCGATGCGTGGAAGTATGTGCTTGGCCTTGCCTCTCCCATCTCCCTGTGGACTCTGGTTCATCAGGTACCCCCTTCATTCCTTTGGCTTCATTCTCTCCCTCTCTGCTACCTCTGGCCTGCTGCTTATAAGTGAGTTCAAAATTCCCAGTCTGATAATAAAACCAAAATATCCCAACCTGAGAAGAAAATCAAAGACCTCTCTGCAGAAATTAACTTAAGAAGAGGTAGAAAACATTAGTGGGTCAATAACTAGCAGAAGAAACTGAAAAAAATTAAAAGAAAAAATCATTAATTAATCATTAATGATAGTAACTACATTCGTTGGCCTTGCTAAACATTCAGCTATGTTTAAGTGCCATGCTGAACACTTCACATAAATTATCTTATTTAATCCTCAACAACAATATGAGTTAGATGTATCATTAAAATGTTAATATAATTTTACAGAAAGGGAAACTGAGGTTTAAAGTTGCCCAGTGTTAAACAGTTTTACTTATTTCACTTCTTGGAAAGAGCTGGAGTAGGACCCAGGTCTGTTTTATTCTCTCAGCTGTTTCTTCACTTGGCCTAGCCAATTTAATGAGTGATAATGCAACACCTTTGTGTGTCTTTTGATGGAAGATAATAAATCGCTTTCCAATTTTCTTGGGAAAATGCCTTACTCTTCCAAACCTGTACTATACAAAGATGCAAAAATCTTAAAATTTGGCAAAATAAATCCAGGATTGTATTAAAAAAATTAATGCTGTCTTACTTGAGAGAGTTTATTTTAGTAATATATGTACATAAATCACATACCTGTCCTGTACCATCATAGGTCATTCTCGTCAATGGTCAAATATTTTCATTGGAAACCGTACACAGAGGCTCACGCTTAGATGCAAGCAACTCCCTGCTGACATGCAAACTCCCATCCTCTTCATTTTCTGCCATTTTCACTTTCCATCCGCATGGACGCCTTAGCTTGCTTGGGCTTTCGCACCACCAGAACTGCCCCTGATGATATCCAATTCAATGATCAATTTCCTTTCTTCTTTTTTTTTTAAGTTTTTTTTTGGGGGGGTAAGGTAATTAGGTTTATTTATTTATTTATTTAGGTTTAATGGACACGCTGGTGACCAAAGCCAGGATCTTGTGCATGCTAGGCATGCACTCAACCACTGGGCTATACCCTCACTGCAAAGATCAGTTTTCATTCTAACAGCAATTGGCATGCTTGGCCATTCCCTCCTTTTTGAAATATTCCCTCCCCTTGGTCTCCGGTCCATCCCTTTATTATGGTTCTGCCCCTGTGGTTCTGGTGGCTCCTTCTGTCTCCTCTTCATCATCTTCCTGAGCTCCAAACACTGGAGGGACCCTGCCTCAGGTTTGAGAGCTCCTTTTTTCTCTGTCCACCTCATGATCTCTTCCAGTCCTGGCTTTTAAAATTTTTTATATTTTAAATTAGTTTTTATTTTATTGAGGTAATAGATACACATTTCTATTAGAAACTTGTGAGAGAATGGAAAAAAATATATAGATATATATACGTTGGTCTCTGCCCCCAATTCTTATGACACAGGGCTCCTAAAACCCTTGAAATTTCCTAAGTGATAAGAACACTAGGAGCATCTCTTGTTTTAATATTTGTCTTTGACCCCGTCCTAACACAGGGCTCCTAAAACACAGTTAAGAGAATCAAACAAACTGGGGTCCTACTCCAGGGGTCCTACTGCCTTGCAAATTCCTAAGGGATAAGAGTCCTAGGGGCATCTTTTGTTCTATTGAGCTGATTTGCGTTGGCTCCTGGATGGCTCTTGACTGGGGGCTGGTCACCAGGATTAGAAGCTTGGAATCTTCACCTTTACCCCTCATCCTCCAGAGACGAGGACATAGCTAATTATTAAAAATTGATTATGCCTACATGAGGAAGCAGAGAATCCTGACAGCATGGGGTTTGGAGAGCTTCCAGGTTGCTGAACACATGCACACCTGGAGAGTGAGACATCCCAACTCCAAGGGTACAGAAGCTCCTGCACCCAGGATTCTCCCAGACCTCACCCTAAATATCTCTCTCTTCATCTGGCTGTTCATCTGTACCTTTTATCATTTCCTGTAATAAACTGGGAAAAGTGTTTCCCTGAGTTCTGTGAGTCACTCTAGGAAATTGATCGAACCCAAGGTGGGGTGGTCATTGGAACCTCTAAACTCTAGCTGCTTGGTCAGAAGCACAAGTGACAACCCAGGCTTGCCTCTGGCATCTGAAGTGCACTGGGGGGCAGGGGAGCAGTCTTATGGGACTGAGCCCCTCATCTGGGGGATCTGACACTACCCCCAGGTAGACAGTGTTAGATGTAAGTTGTAGGACATCCAGCTTGTTGTTGTAGCGAAAAAAAGCCACACATTTGGTGACCACAAGTGTCAGAAGTGAAGTGTTCTCTGTGTCGGTAGAGGAGACACACAGGAAAGAAAGACAGTGGGGAAGAACTGGGTTGTTCCCAACAACTATGAGTTTTTCCTTTTTAGTACTGAAAAAGCTTATGACAAAATACAGCATTTCTCCTTTTCCATCCCTCCCTAATTTCTTCGTTCTTCCTCTCTAGAAGCAATTAATGTTTACTTCTTAGCTGTCTCCTCTGGCATTTATATCTCTACCTATTTGTAAATAATATGCACATGCTACCTTTAGATACGATCTAGCAACTTCATATTATGGTAGATGTAAATTTATTCTCTTACAGTGCCATTCCCTCTCCTACTGTCCTTCATCATCTGGATATAGTTATAATATTTGGTCAAGTCAATATTCAGTGTTTATATTACTATACACATGCATATGTAACTCCCAACAGAGTGTTGCAGTGTTTTATGATTAGGTTTTTAACATATCTTCCAGTTCATCTTGTAAACGTCACTTATCTTAAATTTGGTTTATAGTATTTTTCTGCTGTCAAATTCTATTTGGTCCTTTTATAAATACGGTATGCCACTTTTTATAGTTTCCGGTTTCCTGTTGAAATTCTCAAACGTGGCTTTTGTGTCCTTTAGCATAGGAAGTGCGCTTGTGTCGCTATTTGTGTTCGGTAATTCCAGAATTTGGAGGCCTCCAGGGTTGCGACTGATGTCAGTTACTTCTACTGGTTCTTGTTCATGTTACCTTGACTCCTCAAGTGTCTAGTTATATTTGACTGTGTGTTGAACAACATATTTCAAAAATCAGTTACAGAAATAAGTCGACTCAGGAAGCCGTTATCTCCCTCCAGCGGGGATTTGCATTTGCTTCTGCCAGGCTCCTGGGACCACCAGTAACCGCAGATCACTTTAATCTAATTTCAAAGCTCTAGATTTTGGGTCTACCCCATGATTCAAAGCTGGTGACAATCTCTGTGAAGGCTGGTTTACTGTCAATTTACTCTTGCTTCTAGGGTGTGGCCCTTTGAGATCCTAATCCAAAACAGATCATTTACAGGGTACCCAACCACAGTAGGCTCTAAACTCTGATTTGTGGGAGTGGGAAGCTTTCAAAAGCATGAAAACTCAGCCACCTCTTTAGAGTGGTAAACGCCCAGGGAGTAAATGACCTTAATACTATGCCCACCTTCCATTCCATCCTCTCCTGTATCCTGCCTCAGTATCTTGTGATATTTGTGAGCTTATTAGTGCTTTAAAAAGTGTTAATTAAATATTCTGTGCAGCTGTTTTTTTATTCTCTTTTAATTTTTATTGAAGTATTGATTTACAAATGATGGCAGTCAGGTGTTAAGGACTATACATTTATATGCTTGCATTTTCCCCAAAATTCATATGTTGAAGCCCTAACCTCCAATGTGATGGTATTTGGAGCTGGGGCTTTTTGAAGGTGTTTATGCCGTGAAGCAGAGCCCTTGGGAAAGGATGGGTGCCCTTATAAGAAAAGACACGAGTGTCTTCCCTTGCTGCCCTCCACCATGTGAGGATTCAATGAGAATACGGCTTTCTGAAAACTAGGAAGAGGGTCCTCACCAAAAACAGAATCTGCTGGGTCCTTGGACTTTTGAACTTTTCAGGTTTCAGAACCATGAGAAGTAAATGTCCGTTGTTGAAGCCACCCAGTCTGTGGCATTTTTGTTACGGTGTAGTAGACAGAATAATGTTCCCCCACAAAGATGTCCACATTCTTGTGTATACAGTGGAATGTTACTCAGCCATAAAAAAGAAGGAAATCCTGCCATTTTTGACAACATGGATGGACCTGGAGGATGTTTGTTAGCACAGAAACTACCATTTAAAGTTGTCAGCTGCATCTCTGTTAGTCTACATCCCCCAGGAACCCTTTGTTTTGGGAGGGGGATTCCTTTTAATCAGGTAGATGCTGGCAAGCAAGGGGGGTGTTGCTGGACACTCTAGGAGTCGTCAATGCTGCGCTTCTCATGTGTCCTTTGGTAGGAGTGGGAAAGTTGATGGGAGAAAGTCAGTCAATTTTCCCAAAGACAGTGGGGGAGGGTATAGCTCAAGTGGTAGAGCACATGCTTAGCATGCACAAGGTCCTGGGTTCAATCCTCAGTATCTTCATTAAAAATAAATAAACCTAATTACCTACCCTCCTGCCAAAAAAAACCCCACCCTAAAACAATATGACAATTAATAAATAAAAAATATTTGAAAAAACATTTTTCCCAAAGACTAACGGGTCTTCTTGGAAGGAGGTTATTGAGATCCTGACCACTTTCCTTGGGAGGATCAGTGTTAAATATATCGTCTCTGATGCACTGAAGTGCCCCTGACCTGAGACTGCAGCAAAAGACACCAGGACTTACCCCGGAGAAATTCACCAAAGGAGAGGGGAGCCCGGGCTGCTTAACTGGGCTTCACATTGCTGGCTGAGAGGACAGGTTTCCAGCCCAGCCCTTATAAGTGTCCCTCTAGCATCACAGGTGTGTCCCCGGAAAAAGAGCCCTGAGTGTTTGTAACTGCCGACTACCAGGGCACTTACGTTTTAATAGCGCCATCTTGTGACCAGTCTTGACACAGCCGCTTTTCTGTGTCTCAATAGTGACACCTTGTGGGGCAGAGGTAGGAAAGACAGGGTTCTGGAGGAATTCCAGTTTTCCATTTTCCATCTCTCATTTTTCATTTGTTCCAGCTTTACTGAAATATAATGACAAATAAAATTGTAACTTTTTAAAGTGTACAATGTGTTGATTCGATATACAGACACATTGTGAAAAGTTTCCCACTATCAAGTTAATCAATATATTCATTCCCACATCCTCACCCGCTTTTTTTTTTTTTTTTTTTTTTTGGTATGAACTCCTAAGTTCCACTCTCTTGGCAAATTTCTTTTCTTTTTTTTTTTTAAACATTTTTTAAATTGAGTTATAGTCATTTTTCAATGTTGTGTCAAATTCCAGTGTAGAGCACAATTTTTCAGTTATACATGAACATACATACATTCATTGTCACTTTTTTTTTGCTGTGAGCTACCAGAATCTTGTATATATTTCCCTGTGCTAAACATTATAATCTTGTTTATCTATTCTACATTTTGAAATCCCAGTCTGTCCCTTCCCACCCCTCTCTTGGCAAATTTCAATCATACAATAGTGCATTATTAACTATAGTCACCATGATGCACATTAGCTCCTTAAGCCTTATTTACCTTTTTTTTAATTGAAGTACAGTCAATTACAATGTGTCAATTTCTGGTGTACAACACAATGGCCCATTCATGCATATACAACATATAATTGTTTTCATATTTTTTCATTAAAGGTTATTACATGATATGAGGCCTTATTTACCTTATAATTAAAAGTTTGTGCCCTTTACCTCCCTTTTGCCCCACCTTCCCTGGAAATCATCATTCTGTTCTCTGTTTCTGAGCTCAACTCCTTTTTTTTTTTCTTTTTAAATTTTTTAGATTCCACATGTAAGTGGTACCATGCAGTATTTGTCTTTCTCCGGCTTATTTCACTTAGCATAATGCCTTTCATTTTCATCTATGTTGGAGCAAGTGGCAGGATTACATTCTTTCTTATGGCTATTATATATTATACATAATAAAATGTTATCGATAGATATTTTATAGAACATTTTCTTTATCTATTCATCCATCAGCAGACACTTAGGTTGTTTCTGTGCCTTGATTATTGTGAATAATTCTGCAACAAACATGGGAGTGCAGACATCTCTTTGAGATGATTATTTCAACTGCTGTGAATATATCCCCAGAAGTAGGATTGCTGAATCAGATGGTAGTTCCATTTTCAGTTTCTTGAGGAACTTCCACATTGTTTTCCAACGTGTCTGTACAAGTTTACATTCCCATCAACAGTGTACAAGTTCTTTTGTGTTCACATCCTCACCAGCCTTTATCTCTCGGCTTTTGGATAATGTCCATTCTAACTGCTGTGAGGTGGTATCTCATTTTTTGAGATGGTTTTGAGGTGGTTTTGATTTGCATTTCCCTGAAGATGAGTGAGCATATTTTCAGGTCCCTGTTGGCCATTGTATGTCTTCTTTAGAAAAATGTCTACTGATGTCCTTTGCCCATTTTTAAACTGTTTTTGTTTTTATGCTATTGAGTTATATGAGCTCCTTATATATTTTGGATATTAACCCTTTATTGGATAAGTAGTTTGCAAATATTTTCTCTCACTCCATAGGCTGGCTTTTCATTTTGTTGATGGTTTCCTTTACTATGCAGAAGTTTTCAGTTTGGTGTAGCCCCACTTAATTTTATTTGCTTTTTTGCCTTTGCTTTTGGTTTTAAATTCAAAAAATCGTTGTAAGACCAAGGTTAAGGAGCTTACTCCCCGTGTTTTACTCTAGCAGTTTTACAGTTTCAGGTCTTACATTAATCCATTTTGAGTTCATATTTGTGTATAGCATAGGACAGGTATTCGGTTTCATTCTTTTGCATGTGGACACACAGTTTTCCCAACATCATCTACTGAAGAGACTGTTTTTTCTCTATTGTATATTCTTGGCTCCTTTGTCATAGATTAATTGACCATACACACATGGGTTTATTTCTGGGCTCTGTTCTGTTCCACTGATCTGTGTCTGTTTTTACGCCAATATTATTTTAATTACTATAGCTTTGCAATAGAGTTTGAAATTAGGAAAGTGTTATAGTTCCAGCTTTGTTCTTCTTTCTCAAGACTGCTTGGCTACTCAGGATCTTTTGTGGTTCCACACAAATTTTAGGATTTTCTATTTCTGTGGAAAATGCCCTTCAAATTTTGATAGGGACTGCATTGAATCTGTAGCTCACTTTGGGCAGTATGGACATTTCAACAATATTATTTCTTCCAACCCATGAACATCAACTATCTTTCCATTTATTTGTCTTCCTAAGTTTCTTTAATCAATGTTTTATACTTTTTTGTGTACAGATATTTCATCTCCTTTATTAAATTTATTTTCTGAGTATTTTTGATGCTATTGTAAATGGAACTGTTTCCTTTACCCATAGTTCATTGTTAGTGTATAGAAATGCAACTGATTTTTATCTGTTGATTTTGTATTTTTACAACTTCAATGAATTCATCCATCTTTCACTCTTAAAGCCAGTTACAAGCAAGATTAAGCCTTTGAACTCTCTTCCTAAGCCTACTGGAAGGACACAAACATACAGTACATACGATGTACTGTGTACACCTGTTTTATATGTATATTATTAAAGCCTAAGCACCAGATATTCCGATCCATGTACTAATTGGGTCCAACTCTACTTAGCTTCTGAGATTAGGTACATTCAGGATGGTATGGCCGTAGACACATCAGTTTAATTTGGATGTTAAAAATATGTACACATACCAAAAGACAAATGACAAAATAGTAATGCAAAATATAAGAAAAGAATGATTTTCTTAAACAAAGAATACTTGTAAGTGAAAAAAGAAAAAGATGAGTAATCCAACAGAAAACTGGCCAAAGGATAAAAATAAATAGCTAACAGAAAAAAAAAAACACTTAGATTTTTATTTTACATATTAAACATAAAGATTAAAAGCATAATGAGATGCTAGTTTTCATCTAACAGGTTAATAAATATTAAAAAATAGGATAAAATTTAGTGTTAGTGATGGTGTGAAGAAACTCTCACAAACTGTTAGTGGAGATAAGCATTAATGTAAAATTCTGGAAAGTAATTTACATATAGTAACACACATCCAAATTTAAAATGCACATACTCTGTAATCCAGTAATTTCATCGGTAAAAATTTAGGAATGTCTTCCAATTATTTTTTGTTTACATACTATTTTGGATGCATTTATTTGTAGGTAACAGAAAATCCAACTTAAACAGGTTCAAACAACAATGGATATTTCCTAGACCATGGACCTAGATCCCAGAGACAGGGTGGAATTCAGCTCTGGTTTGATTCAGCATCTCAGTGATATCATCGTCAACTCAGTTTCTTTCTAGCTTTCCTCTCTGACTTCTCCCTTGTCAACAACTTCATATATATATATATATATATATATATATATATATATATATAATAA